GCACATCGTGTTAAAGGGCGCTCAATTCTCTTTACGCTCGTTACTACTCTGTTTTTAACCAACCGCTTTATTAAATAGCAAACTAAAGAGGCTAAAAGTATCCATCTAAAGTGTCCATGGGATTTCCCCCAGGGTCTACTTCAACAAGTTCAATTTGAATTTTGGTCTACTCACTCGGCTGTAGAGTGGCAGGGGCGACTCTCCTCACATTCGTCAACATTGACGCATTTGTCCTCGACCAGTTTGTAACCAGTGGAGCAGGCGCAAATGGTGTCGTGGTTCTGGGCTTGGCAGGAACCTTTTCCGCAGTCGACAAAGCCGCACGGATCTACAAAGGCCCAATCACTCACTTCTCATGTCCTTTGCAGTTAAGCCCAAACACTTACCAAGACATTTGTTGGAATGCGCATTGCAGAAGCGGTCATCAGGACAGTCATCGTTCTCAATACACTCCACCTTGAAGCATCCAAGACTCTTGTCGAACGGGTTCCCCAAATGGCCGGGGGGACACGCACAGGACAGTGCATGATTGGCCACAGCGCACAGCGCGTTCACCCCGCATTTGTCGCAAGGGTCCTGGCACTTGCCCCGTTTGCACACCAGTTGGTCTGGACAGTTGCGATCAGATCTGCATTGTCCAGGCCCGGAGCACCCGGTGCTTGTGTAGGGATCCCCAATCATGCCCTCAGGACAGACGCACTTGTAGGAACCGAGATCGTTTTTGCAGATGGCACTGCGATGGCACGGGTGCGCTTCGCATTCGTTGATATCGCTGCAGCCCTGCGGGGTTCCGATGAATCCTGCGCTGCATTTGCAGGATCCGTTCAGGCAGGTCTGCGACGGCTTGCAGTCACTATCCCGGGCACACCCAGGTTGGCAGACTTCGTCCCGGCAGATTTCCCCAGTGAGGCAGTTGCTGTCTCCAAAGCAGACCTTCAGGCAGCCCTTGTTGGTGCATCGCTCGCCTACAGCGCAATCACTATTCCCATGACAGTTGAAGGTGCATTGCTCGTTGAAGCAGGCGTGCCCCGATGGGCATTGATGCTGCGCATTGCATAGGGTGGGAATGCGAATGCAGCCCTGTTCGGGGCGCGGGTTGCCCTCGAAGCCTTTGGGGCACTCGCAGGATGTGCGGTGGTCCTTGCAAGAGCAAACAGCATTTGGGCCGCAGGCTTCCCTACTGGCGCACGGGTCCAGGCACTGGCTGTTGACGCAAGCCTGATGGCTGGGGCAGTTTTTGTTGCTTCTGCAGCCCAGGGTGCACATGCCAGCCCTGCAAGCTTGGCCCTGCTCGCATTGGCTGTGGTCGGTGCAAGGGGTGGCGCATTTCTTGCTCAAGCAGGCTTCCCCTTCTGAGCAGTCCTTGCTGTCTCTGCACACCGGCCGGCATTGGCCTTGGTAGCACACCTCGTTGCTGCACTCCGCATCAGAGGCGCAGGCCTGAATAAGGCGCAGGCATCCAGACCCTGACTGTTTATATCCGGCAGGGCAGGAGCAGACGGCCTGTCTGTTAACCACTGAGCAAACCTCGTTGGGGTTGCAGGCCTGGCGGCTGCAGGGGCTGATGCAGTAGCCTCCCACGCAGTCGGTGTTCGCGGGACACTCTGGAGCCTTGGTGCAGTTGCCTCGCTGCTTGCAACCTGAGACCAGCGCATCGCCTACTGTCCCCTCCGGACAGAGGCAGCTGAAGCCCCGATTGGTCGGCCGGCAAAGCGCAGTGGGATGGCAGGGGTTTGACTTGCATTGGTCGACTAGGACGCACTCGACTTCAGCCAGGGGGTTGGGAGCGAATCCGGGCGGACATTGGCAGGAGGCTTGGTGGTCCTGCCCAATGCAGACTGCGTTGGTGCCGCAGGCCTCCTCATCGCAGACATCCCTGCAGGAATGCGACAGCCGGTCGCAGAGCTGACTGGAGGGGCAGTCGATGTTGTAGACGCAGGGCACCGCCCTGCAGCCCAGGCCCAAGTCGCTGGCGTTGCCGATATAGGAGCCGGGAGGGCACTGGCATTTGGGGACGTGGTTGTTAACCGCGCAGATCGCATTGGGGCCGCAGCGCAGCAAATCGCATGCTGGCAGGCACATTAGGCGGTTTTCCTCCGGGCTGCTCCTGCATGTGTCTTGCTCTGGGCAATGAGCGTCCGCAGAGCAGGCGTCTTGTTTGATCAGCAGGCAGCCGTTGCGGTCGTTCGGGTTCCCTGAGTAGCCCTCGAAGCACCGACACTGACCCTTATGGGCCTCGGCCACGCAGGCGGAATTATTGGGGCACGTGAACTGGGGGCAGATCAGGCTGCACTTGAGCACGCCGAGAGCATCAGGCTGGCAGGTGGCGACCGGCTCGCAGTCGCCATCATGCTCACATTCTGGCACTGCAGGCTTCTCGCAGGCGGACGAAACCGGGTTCCACAGGTACTGGTCGGTACACGCACATGTCGGGTGGCCAGCCACATCGAGCTGGCAGGCCTCATGGGTGCCGCATGCCACCGTTTCGCACGGGTTTATGCATCGCTGCAGGCCCTTTTGGTCGATGGCGCAAATCGTCGCGAACTTACAGTCGCTGTCCTCCAAGCATTCCCGCGAGTTGAGCCGCTCCTCCATCTGACAGCCGACGCTCAAATCCCCAGCGTTGCCTTTGTGGCCGGGACTGCAGATGCATGAGGTGCGATGCTTGGAGGCAATGCACAAGGCGTTCGGTCCGCACTGGGCCTTCGAGCAAGCATCCACGCACGTGCGCAGGCCTTTGCCTAGCTGGAAGCAGATTTCCGTGTTGGCGCAGTGCGCGTCGCTGCTGCACTGGCCCTGAGGGCTGCAGCCAGCCTTCAGGTCCTTGGGGTGCCCAACGTAGCCAGGCGGGCAGCTGCACTTGCCGCTGTCGCAGATGGCCTTCGGCCCGCAGCTCACCGACTCGCAAAGGTCGCGGCATTGTCCACGTTTGCAGGAATACCCATTGGGACACAGGAGGGTGTCGCTGCATTGGCAGTTTTCCGGTTGCCTGCAGATTCCTCCTTGGACCTGCGTGCACATGACGAACGGGTTGCCGGCATATCCTTGCTTGCACCGGCAATCGTAGCTGCCAATCGTGTTGATGCAAACGGCGCTGTTTCCGCACACGCTGTTCTTGCATTCGTCGATGTCTTTGCAGTCGATGTAGGCGTTGCCGGAAAAGCCGTGCTTGCAGGCGCACTCAATGCCGTTGAAAGTTTCCAGGCAATCGGCGTTGGAGCCGCACGCCGATGC